CAAAAGTCCCTGATTGGATGGAGCTCTTATCAAATGTTGATTGGCCTGTGAAAATGCTGTTTTGTATCGCTTTGTCTCAAATTCTGAACAGTTAACAATTACATCCAAATCCTTGTGGAAAGTGATATAAACTGTTGTAATTATCTCTGCCTTCTACTAGATTGGGCAACAGATTATGGGCGACCATGGTGGCTGGATCAAAAATACTGCATTGGAAAATTGTCAGAAAAGACTCGCTGGATCCATATCATCAACACATTAACTCTACAGGAAGAGAAGGTTGAGGTACACAGACAGTAGTGTTCATTACAAATTTTACGTGTCTTCTTCATAATAGATTCAAGCGTGAGTGTCGGTTATACCCCACTTTGAATGTAGAGTGAGATTAGAATAATGGAAGAGGCCCTAGAATAGACCTTAACCATAACCTTAACCTAAATTTGAAGTGAGATAATATGCATGCTAGCTGTAGAAATTAGTAATGTTCAATAAGATACATTGCTTTGAAGGTTTGTGCAGAGGAAACGCTTGACGAAATACTGAATCGATACATGAAGTACAATTCGCATGCGAGGAGCTACACCTGGAAGTACGACGGCCAAATATTGAACATGACAGAAACGTTGGCAGGAAATGGAATTTCTGACGAGGATGAGCAATTCTACAATCTGCGCATGAGAGACGATGAATTTCTTGTAGCGATTCATCTTTACTTCAACGATGATTTGACTGAAGCATAGATTGTGGTTGTATTGTTTGAGCATGCCAATAGTAAGACTTGGTGAGAAATGCCTAAAGTTCATGCTGCTCTGTGACTGTCATCAAACGATTTAGATCTAGAAGGGCTACATCTAGTTTGTTGGAATTCAACCTACCAATTTAAACCATGCAAGCTGACAAAAAGCTAGAACCAATAAAATTATTTGTAGTTATTTATTATAGCAATACCATTTCTATTCATTTTTATCACGTTCCATTAATTCATTTATCTTTCAAATACTTCAAAAGAAAATGCAAGTTTAGTAACATATCTTTTATGGCATTGTTACACTGAAACAGAAGATATCCTGGGGGAAGAATTCCACACAAATTCCTGGAGGGGGGGGGGTCAAGAAATAAACCACATGAAAAATATAGGGTTAGGTTGAAGGGATAATTGTGTTTTTGTAAATAGTTTTTTGTTTCATCATTTGTTACATTTTCGGGTAGCTCACAATTATTACCCAAGCTTATTTTTTATTTTGCTCCAAATAGGGGCAGGTACCCTTACTAGCTATCTATGCACCGCAAGAAAGGATGACTGTATGGGTCATATCTAATATATACATACAAACTTGTACAACTCAATCACATATTTTTGCATTTCACACATGATTAGCAGACAGCTATCTAACGCGGATTCTTGATTTTGCGCGGCTGGTTTTGGTTCTGTTGAATTACAATTCAGTTTCAGTGTCACGTGCCATCGCACATGGAAGAACCACTATGAACTCAAATTGTTGTACGAATACGGACGAAATATGGTGAAACGAAAAGGGTATGTGGGAGCCTTTTATAGTCAAGCATTAGACAAGCCAAACCTATAAGTTACCATGCTATTGAGGTCAGATAAGACTAAGAGTAAGAGTAAGACTCCATGTTTCCTACACCCATTTGGTCTACTCTCAGAATCGGCAATAATGCCAATATTCCCATTTCGCCTACTCCCATGTTACCAGTACTATTTATTCTACTTTTGTCAAGTTGTATTCTCATTATTTGTAGGCTACCTATGAGTATGAGGCTATGTTTTCGGTACAATTAGCGTTTACACACCCATGTCGTGAGTTTGGTTAGGGTTAGGGTTTTTAAACCTGGGGTTGTCAAATAGGAATGGGCCATGTTTTCGGTTCAAGGATAGAGAACATGTATCCCAATAAAACCAATGTCATTTACATCAATATAAATATTATATTATATCAATATAATAGGTTAGGGTTATGGTTAGGGTTAGGATTAGGGTTAGGGTTAGGATTAGGGTTAGGGTTAGGGTTAGGGTTATAGGGTATGTGGGAGCCTTTTATAGTCAAGCATTAGACAAGCCAAACCTATAAGTTACCATGCTATTGAGATCAGATAAGACTAAGAGTAAGAGTACGACTCCATTTCTCCTACACCCATTTGGTCTACTCTCAGAATCGGCAATAATGCCAATATTCCCATTTCGCCTACTCCCAATATGTTACCAGTACTATTTATTCTACTTTTGTCAAGTTGTATTCTCATTATCTGTAGGCTACCTATGAGGCTATGTTTTCGGTACAACTTACAAGTAGCGTTTACACACCCATGTCGTGAGTTTGGTTAGGGTTAGGGTTTTTAAACCTGGGGTTGTCAAATAGGAATGGGCCATGTTTTCTTCGGTTCCTGAGTGTATGCCAATCAAAACCATATTTTATTATTTATATTATAAATGATTATTTAGTGATCGTAGACGAAATGGGAATGGGGTAGATTTTGAGCGTAGATGAATTGCCAATTGGGAGTAGGCGAAATGTGTGTAGGCCAACTCAACTGGGAATTTTTGCTGTAGGCGAAATGGGAATTTTGCCGTGAGCGAAATAGGAGTAGGCCAACTGGGAATAAACCGTATACTATAAACTGCCTTTTTATAACAGGGGTAGGATAGGAATATTCTAGGGTTTTGATCTATAATTCTGTTCACTAACATCGTACTTCAATTCACAGGTGTGTTTCTGTTTACATAAACATTTACAAATATGATTGTGGTCGTTTGGGATATTTTGCAATGCCAATGTTTGTGTTAATGCAAAAACTAAAAATGCACGCGTGTTTACATTAATCATGTACTTTCCTAAGCGCCCCTCGGCCATTTTATACCCCCTATTTCTGTGACCTACATAGCACAGCTGGACTTTCTTATCTCACTTATTCTAAAACCAAATACTGAAATAGGCAGTGGCTGGAGGTACGGCAGCCGTGTCTCCAATTTACGGGGCTGGAGGTACGGCAGTCCATTCGCTTTCATACAAACGAGACAAAGATGGTGGCGAATGGCCGCAGATTTCGAAATAATGCCTTGGGGAAATAAATTCACGATTTGAGAGTTTTGATGAGCTAGAAAACACTCGGATTAGGTATGAAAATGAACATTATTGTAAACTTTACATTAGAAGATCGTAAATAATTGCCTCGGCCCTCAAACAAATGCCAAGGGCTTCAACGAACGACGGCTGCCGTACCTCCAGCCTCTTCCAACCAAATACAGTGTCCGTGTCGGTAATGATAGTAGCTTAGCCGTGACCTCAAGTATCAAAAATGGGGCCCAATTCTAGTTAAGCACCATGGCTTAGTTTAGCACATACATGTGAACTACATATACCGCTGTCCCAAACTAGGATTGATCATTGGCTCGAGCAACAAATTGAGAGACACATTGGCCATTGCATGGCATTGGAAAAAATAAAGAAAACACATAAACATGCAATAATATTGTTAAAATAGTGCAGAAAGGCTAGATAAATAAACAGGGGTAGAAATTAACTTTTAAACACGGGAGTCCAACAGACTCCCTACTCTCAAAAAGAGGGAGTCTGCAGTCTGAAGTTTAAAATTAAAGATATTTTACAATAACGCATGTGCTTATTTTTAAGATTCATGCGGTTGCGCATCTGCCAAATTTCCTTTGGACATAAGCTGAAAAAATATGGTAATTCCGCGAGGCCGTGCTCCGGAACGAACTAGTTTGTATGGCAGAATTTTCAGGGAGTCGCACGGACTCCTGCATATATGTCAAATCAGGGAGTCCGACACTAAATCAGGGAGTATTTGACTCCGGACTTTCGTTAATTTTGCACCCTGTATACTTGATATATATTGTATATAATATATAACTTACAGGACGTACTCAACTTACTATGAACAAGTCTGGATTAGGACACACCTGTGTGTATAATGGGCTTAGGGTTAGGTTATATATATATAGGGTTATGGTGGTGCATCAGGGTGATAATTGATGTTTAGAGTTAAAAGTAGAGTTGCCTACTAAATAATTAACTAAAGCTAGAACTCATACTTATCTTTGTAATCAACAATGTTGATTCTACTAACAGAGGGAAGGCAAAGGGGAAAAAGGAGCAGCAGAGCGATGAGGAGTTTGAGCAGCCGGATGCAACATCGCAGCAATATTACTACGATGAAGTGGACGAGTTTCATCACAACAGACAGAAGGTATACAACAAAGAAACG